TTAAATAGTTTACAAAAAAGATCTTTTAAGAATCCTCTAAGATTATGATATTGACACATATATATGCTATGAAAATCTTAGAATTCGAAGCTGAATTAACTCATTTAAAATCAAACACAGTCTCCTCACCTCACACATCACACTGTAAATAAATTTGTATATATAGGTATTTCTAATTCCTTTTCACATTGAAAAATATTTAATTTTCTTTTGAATATTGCAATCAAAGCACATGTATGGATTTGTAGTATTTAAAGAATAATGTATAAGAATTCTTATATTATTTCTTATATTCTTAATGTTTAATATTAGTCTCCAATGTCATTTTAATAGCTGTTCAACCATCTGCCAAATAGGTTTAGTATACTCTATTTAAGTGAATCAATTTTAATCAGCATTAAAGTTACTCTAATTTTGATATGAGAAATTACTCAGAGGTAAACATTCATATGCATAAGTATTTATTTATGATTATTACCACAAAAATATATTTTAAGATATCAGAGATATGTAGGCAAAGTGTATGTGTACATACGTTTTTAAGTTTTGCTATGGAGTGGCAAATTGGCTCTCCAAAAATAGTGTAATAACTTAGAGTCTAAATAGTAATGCATCTACCAACATTGATGACTTTTTACACTCTTTCTTCCTTGACCTGCTGCCAGTGAGAAGGAATGACGAGAACAGAGTTTGACAGCCAACCAGCAGGATGGGCACCCTTTGATGCTTAGCTATATTTGAGAGCTTCCTCACTGACTGAAAATGTATTTATCTGTATGAAGTATCTCACTAAATGAAGTTAGTAATTTTCTCCAAACATTTTGCTCTCTCTGACAATGAGTAGGTAGATGGAAACTATTAATTGGAGACCAGGCTATAAAATTAGCCTTTCAGGCTATTTTCGCTAAGAGGGTGATGGTTGTCATTACAGATATTTTAGTATTTATTTTTCTCATTTACAAAGGCATTCCTTACTAATTTCAAAAAATAAAATTAGAGGGGCGCCTGGGTGGCTCAGTCGGTTAAGCGTCCGACTTCGGCTCAGGTCATGATCTCATGGTCCGTGAGTTCGAGCCCTGCGTCGGGCTCTGTGCTGACAGCTCGGAGCCTGGAGCCTGTTTCAGATTCTGTGTCTCCCTCTCTCTGACCCTCCCCCGTTCATGCTCTGTCTCTCTCTGTCTCAAAAATAAATAAACGTTAAAAAAAAAAAAAAACTAGAAAGAATTTATGTTTCCCTCCTTTTAGACAAGATTATAATTTTATGTTAACTATAGAATTTCATAGTTTAAGTTCTAATTATAAAGCATACTTTTCCCATAATGCTACATAATTTTGAGAAACAGTTCTTTAGAAGATTAATATTTAGTTGACTGGATGTAGATAGTTAACCAGTATAATTCAGTGTTTAATTCAGTGGCAATTTGTTGTAACTATATCTGTCACTATACAAAAAGCTAGTTTATATTATGGATCCTTTATTTAGTTTTGATTAACAGACCTGGAGTTCCTGCATCAAAAGTAAGATATTTGTAAACTCATATATATATGCATACACACACATATAAGCTCATACATATACACATATACGTGTGTGTGTGTATATATATGTATATAAAATTTATTTCTAGATTACTTTCCATATGAATATGTGATAACAGAATTTCTCTACTTTCATAAGTTACCTTAAAGATAATATGAATAAAAATAAAACTGGCTTTTCTAAAAATCTATAAAGTAATTGCTCTTTTGAGTAAAATATACACTGTGCAGTATTAATATCAGTTTATGTGGTTCTTGAGTCACACAATGATGCAAAACTTCTTTCCCTCAGAACATTAGACTTGCAATTGCTTCACAAGTTTTCTCCTACCTCTCTCTCCATAGAGACCTTTAACTTCTGAATTGCCTTGTCTGGAACTCTAATATCCTGCATTCGCTGTAATGCAGGCTGCAGTTAAGTAAAAAGGTTTTTGCCAAAGACATGGCTACCTTTTTTCTCTCAGATATGGAGTAAGCAGAGTTTCAATCATGCTAAGTGGTTCAGATTCATAAATGAAAGGAACTGCCCTGTCATCTTCCTAAATTGTGTTAAATGAAAAATTATATATGTTGGTGA